TTCAACCCTTTCAAGCCTAGATTTGCCTTGAGTTTTTTGTGCAAAGCTCTGCAATTTGCCTAGATTGCCGCTCACATTCCAGCACCACCTGGGCTGACCCTCGCCGGGCTCCAAGTGATGCAACGTGTGAGATATTGAGACTACGCACTGGGCCAGGGGACACCCGAACAAATAATTAACCACACATGGCAGTATTCAAATAATGGCTGGCAACATCATTTGGGGGGGCAAATGACGGCTTGCCAATCATTTTGTGTTTCACTTGGAAGAAATGGCAGACATAATGGAGGTGAAATGGAAGGGCAATCATTTGGGAGTCCACGATTAGAAAATCTAGTTGGAGAGGAGAGGAGGGCCCAAATAATGGCCGCGAAACTATTTACTAATGGCAAGGAAACCATTTAAATAATGCTCAGGAAACCATTTGGGCATTCATTCCGGGGAGGGCAGGGCGGGGGGCCAAACAATGGCCAGGAAACCATTTGGCCAGCCATCCTCGGGCAGGCGAAGAGCCAAAAGGGGGGGGGGCCTCCCATTATTTGACAACAAAAATGATTGCCGCTGATTACTAGTAGTCGAGGACAGCGTCGCAACTCCTGGGGTAGGGTGGAAGAAAGGACAGCTGAATGTTTTGGCCTTCATCATTAAAAAAATAGATGACAGTAGTTGGGAGGGCGGCGGGATAGATTCGGGCACATAGTGGCGACCAAGATCATTGGGCCATCCATTATTTCAATCCTAATGGGGGAGGCTGCTGGGCTGGGGGCCAGAGAAAAAGAGTAAACATGCTGCGTGAGAAATCATTTCGGCCCGCGGTAATTGCATAATACAAATGGGACAGGACGAGGAAGGACTAATGTGGAAAGGGTGGACGAAATGGCAGCTGTATCACTTGGCCTTCCCTGATTTGAATAATACTAATCAAGGAAAGTGGCGAGATGGGGAAGGAGTTCTCGGCTTCTCGGCTTCTGGGCTTCTTGGCTTCTCGGCTCTCGGCTTCTTGGCTTCTCGGCTTCTCGGCTTCTGGGCTTCTTGGCTTCTTGGCTTCTTGGCTTCTTGGCTTCTTGGCTTCTTGCCTTTTCGGCTTCTTGGCTTCTCGGCTTCTGGGCTTCTGGGCTTTTCGGCTTTTTGCTGGTTTATGCAGCTTTTGGTGGCTTTTTGGCTTTTCGCATCCTCTGCATTCCCAGTTCCTCTTCGGCAGGTGGCGCTTTTTGGCTTTTGCGGCTTTTCGCTGGTTTATGCGGAGTTGGCGGCTTTTGGCGGCTTTGGCTTTTCGCATCCTTCGCGCTTTTTGGCTATTGGTTTTTGGATATTTGGGGGGAACCCCCCCCCGACCCACCCGCTACTGTTTAGATTGTTTGCAGAGTAATTGCACCCCTATTTGAATCAACTCTTCTTCAAACATCATGGGGGGGGTTGCCGCCTCCCCCCCGTTACTTTTTAGATTTCTTGCAGAGATTGAATTGTCTGTATGTATGCATTTCTTCGAACATTCTAGGGGGCCACCCCGCCAACCCTCCCGCTGCCTTTTAAATTCTATCACGCCCTTTCTTGAATCATTGCACCCCTACTTGAATCATCACTTCTTCCGACATCATGGGGGGGGCTGCCGCCCCCCCCAACCCGCCCGCTGGGTTTTAGATTTTCTACAGAGATTTAATTAACTGCACCCCTAGTTGAATCATCAATTCTTCGAACATCATGGGGGGGGCGGCAGCCCCCCCCCCCAACCCCCTTCCGCTACTTTTTAGACTTTTTGCAGAGATTTAATTGCACCCCTATTCAAATCATCACTTCTGCAAACAACATCTTGGGGGGGGCTGCCGACCCCCCAACCCCCCCTCTACGTTTTAATGTTTTGTTTTTCTGTTTTTTCTTTTTTTAACAGGGATTGAAATCTAGGGGTGCAATTAATTAAATCTCTGTAGAAAATCTAACACGTAGCGGGAGAGGCAGTTTTCCCAGGATGTCGGAAGAAGTGATGATTCAAGTAGGGGTGCAATGATTCAAGAAAGGGTGTGATAGAATTTAAAAGGCAGCGGGAGGGTTGGCGGGGGTGGCTTCCCCTATGATGTTCGAAGAAATGCATACATACAAACATACATGGATTACACAGATTACCTAAAATGTCGTATTGTGCAGCATTGTCTCGCGAAATTGGACGCTCGAAAAAGTGATGATTCAAACAGGGGTGCAATTCAATCTCTGCCGGGCCAGTAAAATGTCGTATTTTACAGCATTTTCTCGCGAAATTGACGCATTTTACACTAGCCCGTCAACATCCCCAGCATCGTTTTCAACATCCCCCGCATGTCCGACCAACATCTCTAGCATCACCAACAAATCGTGTGACGGGGTCAAAGAAATGATGATTCAAGTAGGAGGGCATGGGGGGGCTGCCGCCCCCCCAACCCCCCCGCTACTTTTTAGACTTTTTGCAGAGATTTAATTGCACCCCTATTCGAATCATCACTTCTGCGACCATCATGGGGGGGCTGCCGCCCCCCCCAACCCCCCCCCTCTTTTTTTTTAATAATAGTTTTTTATTTTATGATTTTTTTGCTGGGATGGAAATGCCCTCCTGTTTGAAGCATTATTTTTTGACCCCGTCAACCCGCCAGCAACTTTTTGGATTTTGTTACGCACGACTTGTTGGTGATGCTAGGGATGTTGGTCGGACATGCGGGGGATGTTGAAAACGATGCTGGGGATGTTGACGGGCTAGTGTAAAATGCGTCAATTTCGCGAGAAAATGTTGTAATTGTACTGGCCCGGACGAAAAACGGAAAAAAAAAAAACAAAAAAAACACGAAAACAAATCCCAAAATAAATCCGCACCCTTTGAATAATCTGGTGGGCTGGGGATCAGGCGAGAAGGGGGTAGGAATGATGGCAGAAATCAAGACTGAGTTAGGATGGAAGTATTGGTGGGCGAACCATTTGGCTTTCATTATTTGAATACTAGTACTAGTGGAGGCGAAGGCGGTGGGAGGGACTGGCCCGGGCGGGGGGGAAGAATGGCAAGGGAAGTGATTCAGCTATACACTACTTGAACAATACTAATGGGCGGGGTGGTCGGATGGGTGGGGACCCAGACCCCCATGGACCTATAGCATTGCAAGTAATGGCCCCCCCTTGCAACGGCCTCCACTAGGCAGCCCCGCCCCCAGGATTGCGAGCTCGCACCTGTTCGGTCTGCTTCTGGCTTGAACAGGCGGCAGTTCTTAAGGATCAATCGTTGAGTTTGACGTGCCAGCGCCAGGCTTCGTCATCCGGATGCCATTTTCTTTAACAACATGAAGCCTGTCACTGTGCTCTCAGGCACGATAATGGCTGTCTTTCTTTGATGGTGTCATGCTTGCTGGTGAAGGCCACACCGACGCCTATCTCGCCTCAATCCCACAAGATGCCCGCACCCCATGTAGATTGCACAAGCGCGCCCAGCACGCCCCGCACGCCGTTCAACATTTGGTGCAAGGATGTGATTCAGCAGTTTCCCTGCTTTCGGCTACCCGTGGTGGCTTCCTTCGACTGGCCACGGACTAAGGTGCTTTTGAAGGAAAAGGGACAACCGAAAGCAAAGGGAAGCAAAGGGAAGCAAAGGGAAGCAACGGAGCCGTGAGGCGATCCGCTGTGCTGGGCAGTGCCTGCCTTGAGGGGTCACACTGTGTGAGCCTTTCGTCGGTGAGCAGCTCACTTTCAGCATTTCTTTGCCTTGAGCTGCCAGGGCGGCCATCGTCCGGCCGTGGCCTGGTTCGGTTGTGAGGGCTGTAATCTCTGTGCATGCGAGTAGGCGCCGTGACAGATTGGGTGCGCTGTCAGTGCGCAAAGCGTCTCAATAATTAGATCTGGGACTCGCACGGCATGACCATGCCAACAACTTTCGGTGGCAGCATCGGCACGATTAGGGGGAGCTTCGCTTTTGTTTGCCTTACTCAAGAAACAATCGTTTTCACTTGCATCGCAGTAGCATTTTTATTGCCGCGCTGTCACCCTCAAGTTCCCCACCAGGCTAGAGGAATTTGAGCTGCAATCAACTGTTCAGAAAGGAAGCTGTTTGCGGGCTTCTCTGTAGCAGTGGACAGGGGCTCCAGTTTCCTGGTTTCAGGACACTGCTATGACACAGCTCCGGACTCATGGTTAAGGTTAGGCCGGTTGGCTTATTCTGACGGATATTTGATTGTTTGTAATGCACCATGGGTCCTGCAAAGCGGTATGGCGTGATTCGTTGCTGTGGAGCTTCGAGTGCAGTGAATGCGTCGAGTTTGGCAAAAGCGTTGGGAGCTTGGCAGCTGCACGGTCAGCTTTCGAGCAAGCGGCATGCAGGTATGACTACACTGTTTCACGTCCTGGTGCAGTCATGCTTCCACTTACAGTCTGATTCAACGCTATTTGATCAAATTTGCAAAGCAAATTCAATTCAAATTATGTGTTGCTTATTTGATTCGGGTAAGTCATCGTCAATGACAATCACATACTACAATATCCAATGTAAAATGCTGTTTCGAAATTAAGCCCAATTCAACTTGAACCAGTTGCTGTTCCTTTTGCATTTCGAATCATAAACAACAATTGGAGAAAGCAGCTGTTGACATTGCCAGCTGAAACTGGAATCAAAGTCAATTTCAATCGTTTGTAGTTGTTATCTACTCCATATGGTTTGAGTAGACAAGAACTGAGCCAAATCAAGAACATAACATTGTCTCAACAAAGATGCCCCTGCTTGTTGGCAACGCAATGCAGTAACACGCAGCCGTTTTTTCTCCAGCAGTTGCTCAGATCATGTTCCCCAGGTTCGAAGATTGAAGCTTGGACTTCCCACAGAGACCTTGTTTAACAAGTTCCTAATCCTGGCCAGCCCTCAAGTCCACCAAACAAACTAACATTTGTTTGCTTTTCAAAAAGCTTGGATTCGAAGATTGCACATTGCACAGACAACTCTGTTTGAGAATCTTTAATCCGGACCCACAGGCACCTCCAGTAGCTTCTGAGAAACGGCCATGCCACAGGTGCGGCGAGGCGGCAAGGCTCGCACCTTCACTGCCGCCATCCTTCATACGGGACGCCAACACTTTGACGTCCGGCTTCCCTTGAAATTCTCGCTGGGCGCCACGGTATGCTCGTATGGCTTCGCAATGTTGGCACCGAATTCCTGGAAGCCGTACCGAAGCGGCAAATGCGGACGACTCGGACACCGCGATACATCAGGCAGTGCGCATCGCAAAGGAGAACTCCACAGGCCTCTCCACGTGGGTGGTCGAGCCATGCAGGTCGTTCTCCGGCAGCCAAGCGCTCGGGTGCTGCAAGTCCGGCTTTGTGGTGCTCGCTTGTCCTCTGCAGCGGTGTCGGAGCTGCACCGCCAGGTTGTCAGAATGCTCCGGCTGCGCCCCAGCGACGAAATCACAGCCCAGACTTTTGCTCAAGGCAATCCAGACCTTGCAAAACGTTCAGCGGGCGTGGGGCGGCTTTTTCGATCACCTTCTGTCTTTGAAGATATTGTGAAAACCTTCACGCTCTGCAACTGCGGCTGGACGAGGCTGGACAGATGAACATGGTGGTCGGTACGCTCATGATCTATTCAGGCATGCATCCATCTCAACCTCTCATCGCATGCATTGTTTTGCATACTTGCTGCTGCCTCCTCAGTATCTCAGGCTTGGCGCCACACACGCACAGACATGTTGCCTGTGGCCATGGTTACTGTGGTCATGAAGGGTGCGATATTGCTATGGAGGACAATTGCCATGAACGAGAAGCTGTGCTTGCACTTTGGCGAGCATGGTGCATTCCCAACCCCAGCCGACTTGGCGGCTGTCACGCCGACCAGGCTTTTTGCTTCAATGCGTTGCAGCAGAGGTGTGACGCAAATGGCGCACTTTTGGCAGGTTGAAGAAGGCCTGTGGAGTCGGATACCGAGCGGAAAGAATCATCAAGCTGGCGCGCTGCATGCGAGATGGCGGCCTGGAGCAGCTTTCCAATCCTGAGTTGACTGTTGAGGAGAGCCGTTTCCACTGCCAGATGTCATGCACGCGCTGCGCACGCTTCACACATTGCCAGTTGGATGTGATTTGCATGCTGTGAGGACGCAAGGCAGAGCTGTGCTGGGATATTTGGCCTTGGCCCATTTGGGGTTGCCAATGCACTGCAGCTTTTGGGGCACTATGAGGCTGCTTACCCGCACAGCTCGTGGGTGCTTGACGTTGTCAAGTCTTTGTGAATGACATGCACGAAAGCTCAAACGTACTGGTTCTCTATTTATTTGAACTTCGAGTTTGAGCCTAACTTGCCAGGATATACCAGCTGATAGTGAGACAACTCGACACCTACAGCAAGCTCGTGGAAAGCGATGCACAAATCAGAATGTGTCTTCCGTGGCTCAAAAGGTCTACGGAGACTTTGCCCCATTCCAATTCCTGCGCTATTGGACCGAGCTTTGGATGACCTATGAGGATCGCATGGAAGCACCTGCTTGGGCTGCTGACTCTGCATCGTATCGTTTGCTCACAGCTGTGCACATGGAAGTGAGCCGACAGAAGTACATTCGTGCCAAAATCTGTGCTTCGCCTGAGACATTATATTCGTTTCAGATACTACTTCAACTGCCAATTCAACACACCAACGACAGACATATGTATTGACTCTGTGTATGTTGCTGTTTGAGATGTTTGTTGTTTGTGTTCGGTTTTCAAGTTGAGAAGCTTACATTTTGCTGCAAAGTCAATAGTGATCACCAAACAACACAAAGTTACCGAATGGAGTGTTTCTATTGATAGCCACTTATCATCAATGTCATGTGTCTGTTACTGTTCCGGCGCAACAAATTTCTATTCCTCAAACGATTTGCAAACTCACAGCCATGATCTCCCAACACGGTTTAGGGGCATTGAGCTGGATGCAAAAGCAAGCTAGTGCTGGTTGGGGTCGTCCTACGTGCTTAGAAGAGTCAACTGCCTGCTCAACAGACAAAATCCTGTTTCGTGTGCTTTGTTTGAAGAGTGCCAGACTTCTTCCTTGTGCTTGTTTTCCTAATGTACATGGTGTTTATTCTATTTTCGCAATCTTTTGGCCCTTTCAGACAGAACGTGTCAGGTTTTGCAACAGCTGCTTCAGGACACCAGGCTGCTCCAAACTGTATGTAGCTCAAATGCACAGGACCCGAAAGTTTTGCGGCGCTGCTTCTTTTTGCGGTCTTTAACATTCAGTTGCTGTTCGGGAATTCTTGCTCTAAAGCGGTATCCGAAAGCCACAACCCCTGAAGCATCATAATATGGTGAACTCTTTGTTGCTATATGCGGGTTGTTTCTGTGATCAATGCGAGTGTGCTGAACAAACGTAAGTAGCACGAATGGACACTGACGAAGCAGCCAGGCAGACTCGTCTTCTTCGTGTTAAATTCGCATTCAACAGGGCAAGTTTGTGTAGAATGGCTTGCTGGTACATCTTGTTTCAATCGTAGCAAACGTGTCTGGTTTTTGCGCATCGACCACGCTTATCAGAGGCAGAGTGGGCTCCGTCCCACGGCGCCGCCTTAAAAGATAACTCTATTCTCTCTTGCAAGGCTTATCATGCAAATGTGCTCGCTTGCTTGCGGAAGGACGTGTTAAAACACGCACGCGCTTGCGCAGAGCAACTTGCACAGAGTAACTTGCGCAAGGCAAGTTGCAGAGAGCACATGCGTAAGGCGCTTGCGCAGAGAAGGTGCGCAGAGCGATTTGCGTAGCGCACTTGCCCAGAGAACCTGCGCAGCGCAACTTGCGCTGTGCAATTGCGCAGGCCAACTTGCGCAGAGCTCTTGCGCAGAGCAACTTTCAAAGGCTACTCCCGCAGAGCAACTTGCGCAGACAACTTGCGCAAAGCCACTTGCAGAGCCTGCGCAGAGTAACAGCAGCTGAGGACTTTGTGCGGAGCAAATTGCGCAAAGCAACGTGCGCGCAGACCTTGCGCAGCTCAATTTTCGCCGAGCGCTTGCGTGGAGCAACTTTCAGAGAACGCTTCCGCAGAGCACGAAGGCAGTTGCGCGAGCAAACTCGCGCGAGCGCGCTTGAGCAAGAAACTTGCTCTGCAGCGCCCGTCATGCACTCCATATCGCGTATGATGGTATGATGACATCATGTGATGATGACGAGAATGATGATGATGATGATGATGATGATGATGATGATGATGGCAATGATGATGATGATGATGATGATGATGATGATGGTGATGGTGATGATGATGATGATGGCAATGATGATGATGGCAATGATGATGATGGCAATGATGATGATTATGTCATGGTGTTGATAAGCGTGATGATCAAAGGAAGTTTAACAAGAAACTTCCGTAGTACAGGAGCCATGACAGATAGCTTGACACATAGAGCGAAAAAAGGCTACGACAAATGCTGAAATCAGGAGAGCTGTGGGATGGCAAGATGCAGAAAACATTGGGACGCCTGTACAGAGGGGTCGGAACGGTTCGGAACGGTCCCGGAACGGTCCCGGAACGGTCTCGGAACGGTCTCGGAACGGGTTCGGAGGCCGCGTGCAGGTTTCACAAGGTTTCAGTTGCGTGGCAGGCGCAGCACTTTCGCAAGGTCAAGTATAGATTTCGTGGCAGGCGCAGCACTTTCGCAAGGTCAAGGGTAGATTTCGTGGCAGGCGCAGCACTGGCGCAGCACTTTCGCAAGGTCAAGTAGCACTTTCGCAAGGTCAAGTATAAATTTCGTGGCAGGCGCAGCACTTTCGCAAGGTCAAGTATAGATTTCGTGGCAGGCGCAGCACTCTCGCAAGGTCAAGTATAGATATCGTAGCAGGCGCAGCAATTTCGCAAGGTCAAGTAGTGATGTCGTGGCAGGCGCAGCGCTTTTGCAAGGTCAAGTACAGATTTCGTGGCAGGCGCAGCACTTTCGCAAGGTCAAGTATAGATATCGTGACAAGCGCAGCAACTTCGCAAGAATTTCGCAAGGTCAATTACAGATTTCATGGCAGGCGCAGCTGTTTCGCAAAGATAGATGGATAGATAGATAGTTAGACACAGAGAGAAAGAGAAAGAGAGAGAGAGAGAGAGAGAGAGAGAGAAGGAGAGAGAGAGAGAGAAGCAGGCCAAGAACAGTTCTCCAAACTACAGTTGTTCAATGCTTTGAAACTTCCGCCCCCCGGCTCTGCCGCGTTGTTGTTGTTGTTGTTGTTGTTGTTGTTGTTGTTGTTGTTGTTGTTGTTGCTGTTGTTGCTGTTGTTGCTGTTGTTGCTGTTGTCGCTGTGGTTGCTGTTGTTGCTGTTGTTGCTGTTGTTGCTTGTGTTGCTGTTGTTGCCGTTGTTGCTGTTGCTGCTGTTGTTGCGCGGGTGTGTGGGTGTGCTGGTGTGCTGGTGTCCTGGTGTGCTGGTGGGCTGGTGGGGTTGGTGGTGGGTGCTGGTGGTGCTGGTGGTGCTGGTGGTGCTGGTGGTGCTGGTGCTACTGCTGCTGCTGCTGTTGTTGTCTCCATTCAGCTAAAGCAGACGAGCTCATCAAGGCCGTCCTCACCGGCAATCTCTTGAATGTTGATGCACATCCACCTTTCCGTACTATGTTGCAGGACAAGGCATTTTTGGTTGAGTGGCTAGCGCGCAATACGAAGCACGGACCCGACATCATTGCCTTTGCAGGAGTCGGTGTAGCAGAATCCATGTTTGCTTATTGGGGAACCTGGGCATGATCCGCATGTCCACGAATTCTGATGCATGAGTTTTTCATTTTGCACATTTTCAAATCCTCAAATCCGTGATGCGTGTTTTTGGACTTGACCCATTTTGAATCTCAAGAAATATGTGTCTGCGTCCGCAGCCACTTGGTTTATGTTAAAACCCTCTAGGCCCCGTGCCGAAATTGGGTAGCTGTTCTGAGGTCCATGTTGGTGTTGCTTACCAAGTTCCATTGATCGCCATTTGGCTCAAGACACAATTGAGGTTCAAGATGTGATGTGTAGCTGCATACATACGTGATCGGTATTGAGAGCGGAAAACATCTCGCTCGCGCTGCATTTGTCAGGACCACTGTTGTAACTATCATTCCTTCTCCCTTACAACGTTTGCACGGGTTCGGCTATAACGGCATCGTCCGTATACACCTTTCTACGTGGTTGGTATTACAGCTGGAGGGTTCGGTGCACAGCGTCCCACGGGACGTCACCTTGCCGTCTCTTGACAGGTTATCAGCCGTAACGACAAGCTCTACACTGGACAGGGAGACAGCTGGTTTATTGCGGGTACAGGGACAATAAAGGAACGATAACCTACACAGTACAATGGCGTCTTCAGCGAGCCCAAGTACTGCGACTTTTGGGAACAGCAGCTCAGAGGGATCCAATGGATTGATGGCTCTTCCTGCGGTGATGGATATGATTGCAGATTCACAGGATGAACCTGGGAGCGGAGGTTCCGCGCTATTCAGCGACATATCCACTCCCACAAGATCATGGAAGCAGGTCGATATTCGTCAGGAATCGAAGCAAAGAGAATCCCCACCGAGAAGATCATCATCTTCGCCTGCGACACCACGGACGTCGCAGAAGGGCGTGAGATCGACATCGAAGGGTGGGAGGTCAAAATCACCCACCAGTGCGGAGTTTCGCGCCGCGATCAAAGAGAAGAATAAGATGGAGGTGGAGATCGGGGAATATCAGAAGACACTTGATGAAATGTCGGCAGCAATGGCGAATCTTCATCAAGAAGATTATGGAAGCACCATCCGGATCCAAGAGCTGGAGAGGCGATGCGAGATTGCTAGCAAGCAGTCGGGACATCTAGTGAGTCACCACCAACACCACATGGCCGAGGCATGGCGCAAGTTTGAGGAGGAAGCCCAACAGATGCGCAAGGTGGAAATGAACGCATTTCAGTACGGGGAAAAGAAAGACATGGAGTCGAATATTATAATGCAACAGATGAGACAAGCTGAAGGAACCATCATGGAGCAGAAGCGGGAGATTGCATTGATGAAATCCTACATGGCAAGCGAGAAGTCGGCCGCGCAGGAATCAGCTATACGTGCAAATCAGATACACCGTGAAGCTTCACAGCAGATATCAGTTTATCAGCAACAGATCAGAGGCATGAATCGTCTACATCTATCGAGAAGTTCAACGAGGAGGAGATGGTCCAAAGTCTGAAATCACAGTTGGAGCACGCACTCGTCAAGCGCCCCGAGACGTACTCTATGGAGGACTCCAGGGAACAGCTGATGACGAGACTGAATGACGTTACAGTATTTGCGGAACAAGAATCGAAGAGAGCAGATTGCTTGCTTCGCGAGAAGGAAGAGATCGTCAAACAGTATGAATCCGACGTGTCGATGAAGGACCAGATGATTGCTGTCGAAGGTGGTCATCGTCAAGATGCGATCTTGGAGTTAGCCCAGGTCAAAGAAGAGAAACAAGAGGAACGGTGCACGATGGACGAGAAGTCGAAGGAGGCTGAGTACTGGAGATTGACAGCTAAGGGAATGTACGATGAGTACCTCGAAGAGATGCATGAGCTTCAGGGACGACTGAAAGAAAGGGAGGCGACGCTCAAGCAAGAAGAGAGTTTTGTACGCCAACTCGATGCTGACAACGAGGAACTACGTGCAAACAAGAAGCTGGAGACACAGGAAGCCTCCGGCAGCAAAGATGGACATCGTG